TGCTTCATTAGTCCATCTTTTTACAGTCCTTAATACAGGTTTAGCTGATTTCAGTTTCTGCCTGTAGGTCGGTATTAGATGAACTAAACAGTGATCAGAGAGCCCCAAAGCTGCTCGTGGGACAGAGTGATATGCATCCTTTATTGCTGTGTAACAGTGATCCAAAATAGTGCTGTCTCCAGGTCAATGTTTAACTTCTGTCACACCTAGTATTTGTCCTCTGCTTTACAAGGACATTTAATACAAAGGACTACAGATGTGAGATCACACACACACACACACATAGCAGCACTATGTAACTTTTGGAGCTTTGGCGGTTAATAAACAGAACCTGCACACATCCCGCGGAAGAACATTTCAACCGGAGCTACTTCTCTAAGTTTATGTCTATGGCGATTCACGCAGGTATGTGTCACTCCGCAGTGGTGACGACCCGACCAGGCTACAATAGTCCAAATATAAGTACTTTTAACACATAGGCTTAGTTATAGCCTATGTGTTAAAAGCAGTTCGTCTGACTCAATTAATAGTGTGTCATGAGTTTAGTGTGCAAAAGCACATGGTTAGCATGGGTGGTTAGCGCGATATCCCGCTATTCATGATAAATGGTCAATTGGTCAACAAGGAGCACCCATGGGCACTATGTATGCATTGGAGCAGCACCTTAGCTTGCGGCTGATTTCCCACAGGGACCAGTCATGTGTGCTGGTGTCCCTCAGGTTTCTCAACCTCTCTAGTTCATTCCAACCAATGGCAGTCCCTTTCCAAATGGGATCACTTATTGGCAGTAATTACATGTGCATTGAAATAAAGCCTGATCTTAGAAAGGGAATCCATTTCTTACATGGAGCTCATGGACCTCGATATCGGATTCTTATCAGATTCACAAAGGGAGCATCCATGCCTGCTGGTGCACCTATGCCTGTCCATTTCCCATAAGAAACAATGCTCACCAGTGTCCTAAAAGGAGCAACTGCGTTCAAATGGTTTTCAATGGGGTTGAAGTCAAGACTAAGTTTGAGCCTGATGAATCTTTTATTTAGTTATTTTTTCGAATTGCTCTATTGAATCCAGATGGAAACTTTTATTTGGCCAGGCAGTGTATTAAAAAAAATAGTTTTTTTTGTTACAGTCAACAATGATGCAGACATAAATGCACATACAAATTAAGGGTGAAAGTATAAAATAAAAAGAGTGCAAAATGCCTACACCCACTCGCGCACACACACACACACACACACATCTTTGTGAGTTACTTCATCTCTGTTCGACTGGGTGACCTTGACATCAGATCAGATTCTGTTCTCTCTAATCTGCACATACAGTAATACTAATAATACTAATAATAAACATAAATTTGTCTGTTTCCAGATGCCACAGATCCATGTGCTAGATTTACTTTCAGGATCTAATTATATTGTAGAAGTTCTGAAATTTGATTCCAAGCCCAGCTGAAAGATTACTCATTGTGCTGTCTGTTGAAGACTGTGGTTTCTCCTTGATTCCAAACACACATAGCTGAAGTGAGTTCACAGGAAGCCCCACAAGTCATTTGGGACAAGTCTAATCACAGAAGATGATGAATACATCTGGTGAAAATATATAAGTTCAATGACGTCAGCCTCAAAGAGTGAAACATTTTCCATCCCTTTCTGACACACACCCAGAATGAGCTTCATGACTCATTTCCCATGTAGCAGCAGTGAGGTCTGTTGGGCTGGTGTTGGTTAAGGGTGAGATAAGCTCTGCTGGAGTTTAAGACACAGCAGGAATGATGTAGTCTTAATGACATCATGTGCCTGGCATCTCCAAAATAATCTCAGAGACTGGATCTGATTCAAATAAAACCTCACCTGCATATTTCTCTGTACCTCAGCACACACTGCAGTCTGCTTTTGTGTTTGAAAAAGGTTCTTAAAGATTGTTTTCCAGTCTAGAAGTGCCTGAATGATTGTAACTAGATGACTGGCCTTAGAAGACAAACTGATCTGTATTTTTTTAACATTTATGTATCTTAGGCTGTACTAAGGTATCTTATTCAGGTCAGTACTGGAAAAAAAAAACATGCATGTTGTGTGATCCGTCTTATTTTTAAAAAATATAATTTACATTTTGCAGATACTGCAAAGTGTATGTAATTTTCTTTTTTACCATAACTGTAAGCCCCCATTCTCCATCAGCCAATATGTCTAGTTATTACAAATACTGAATAATAACTAATAAAATTAGTACTATAAAATATTTCAGCGGTCACCACTGCAATAGTTATGAGTACCTTATAATAAATACTAGTATTTTATAGTAACTCTGGCAAGAATTAGTTTTTATTGCTATTAAATATTACCAGTAGTGACTATTTCCAATGTCATCAGTCCTTATTGAACAAACAGTATCTCTCCGGAAGTCATTGTGACTAATCGTTAAGAGACAATAAGCACTGAAACTGGGATATATGCAAATCGCTCTTTAAATAAATGACTATACTATTGGGCAATTCATTCAAAAATAGATTCAAGTTACTATTCAGTTACTAAAAGCTGTATGTATAACGTGTTTCATGTTCAGTTGTCAACTCCTGAGATATCGCAGCAGGGTTACAGAAAGAAAATGAACTGACCAATCTGTAAAAACATACATTTTATTGATGACGTCTGATACTTTACAGAGTTGTGTGTTATTATTAACAGTACATAGTAAGATTTCCTCTTCTGGAATCCAGACATGTAGTATCAACATACAAAATTGTGGCAATATAAGAGGCATTTATGGTACATGATATTTATATGTATATATGTGTGGAATCTTCTGAAGAGGATTTGAGATGGATATTTCAAATGAACTCATGGTAAGATTGCAGAGCTCTTACAAGCACAAGCTTTAAGCAAAGCATGAACCTTTAACCGATACTCAAACAAAGATGGAATGAAACATGAACCATAACCTGTAAAAAAGATTTCATACACACAATTCAGCATTTGTTCACAAAGAAAAATGAAAGACAAACATAAGTCAATTGATACACAAGGCTCTTACAAAACCGAACAGTACAAAACAATGAAGCTTAACGACAAGGTGAGAAAAGGAAAACTTTAAACTTGGTCCTAGCTTTTGCATTTAAAGCAGGTGTACAACATGTTCCCCCGTGTAATCCAGCTATATAATAATCCATACCAGGCATGCTCAGACTGCTTCGCCCAAGATGCCGTACTTTTGTGCTGAAGGTCCATTTGGTAGCAAAGCGTCTGTGCTCTACATTATATACCACAATCAATGAACCTCGTAGGACGTACAAGCTCACAGAAAATGGCAAGCGGTATACAGGTTAATTCAGTATTTTACACTGGTGTTAGATCGCTTTAGTGAAAAGATAAAGCTTTACATTGCAAACATGCATGCGATCACAAACGTGCATGTATGTTCGGGGCTCTGGCTGCATCAGGGCCACTAAATGCTCAGAATTGGTTGCTATTCAAGATGAAACTTTACTCGTCCTTCTCGCTTTCATTCAACTAGTTCCCTAATTTCCTCTTTAGCACAGAACACGTGCTTCAGAAATATTTCTTCTAGATAAACTAAAGGAATAATCCACCACAACTTGAACGTTTTGCCATTTACTCACCCTCATGTTGTTCCAAACCCATATCTGGTTATTCATTTATTGTTTTGAATGGGAATCTTCATGCAGCTATTTTTCGAACTTGTGTGTTACATTCCAAGCCATTTGGCGATTGGTTGTTGGTGAACCAATTATAGTGAACAATTTAAATTTTGTCCTAACCCGCATACAAAACTATCGTATTGTCTTCATAACCCATAAGGTGTTTGACAGTCGTGGTTACCATAAACTATGCAAAAATTCTTTAAAAATGAATCTTTTGCGTTCTATAAAAACAATAACAGCATACACGTTTGGAACAATTTAGGGCAAGAAATGTAGCATTTTCTTTTAGGGTGAACTATACCTTTAATAAACTCAAAAAATGAAATTCAAACCTATTTCCTGTCTGACCTCAGCTAGAGTATTTGAGAGTATTTAGGTGTTAGTCTTTGGCATGGTATTAGAAAAGCCATTTTAGATGTATCTACAGGAAAGATACTCTCATCTAAACCTATAACTAAATTACATAAATGCTCACTTCCTGTGTTCAAAAAAAAAAAGAGAAAAAAAAGAAAAAAATCCCTTAGTGCATTGCTCGGTGGAAATATACCTCTAAAGTTTTTAAGTCCTAAGTGAAACCTGTCAGTCTTTGACCTTCATTTACACACCCAAGGTTGTCATTAGTGCTGATCTAGTACAAATGTTTCCATTTCCAAAGACATTTGATGAAAATGGGGCGCTGATCTTAAATTAGCACTCCAATTCCTCAGACACACAGTATCAGTGTGTTTCGGGAATAGAGGTGGATTTTACAATATGAATTGTCTCAATCGGCAGCAAAACCGAGGTGCAGTGTGGAAGCTAGGAGTTTTTGAGATGACCCAGCTGCCCAAAGACATCCACACACAACCCATGCTGATAAAACTACAGCCGCACAATCTTCTCACACACTCACGGTGAAGCTAACGGTGAGAGTATAGATAACTTTTATTAAAGAGTGTCTGTTACAAACAGCGTGGCTCTCATTGGCTAACCTCTGCTGAAACCTGTGCTCCAAACCCAGACTCGACAAATCTAGATTTAGCTCACATTAAGCGGGGAACACAGCAGATCCAGTCCAGTTGAGTCTAGATTTGTTCAGAGTGAATGTGGGCAACAGGTTCTGATCCAGCCCATCCATGAAGAGATCACTATAGCGCTTGAGTGCATGTGTGTAACCATTGCAACCCGTTTAGTTTCGTTTCAAAGAACTTTTACAAAGAAAAGAGCAGAAAGGGTTTTACACGAGCAAAAAAAAATGGCTGCAAAAGAGTTTGCAGCTATAAAAACAAACAACAATTAACAATAATAATACAACATAACAAAAGGATCATTGAGTATTAACATTAGGGAGGCAAAATATCCAGTTGTGTCCCTTCTTCAGGTGAAGCGGCTCCCTCAGAGGGTTTGGCACAAGAGTCTGATGAGCTTGTGAGAGAGAGAGAGAATATGTTCTACACATCCTTCTCTACTCGCCTCCGCCGCACTGAAAGAAAAAACAGAGACGTGTTAGTAATCTGATACATTCACAGCATTCACGCCGTTAGAACATGCTGAGAGCTACAGTACAAGAACCTTTAATGAGATCTGCGCATTTAAGACGCTTAATAAATCAGTGTGTTAGTCAATCCTTCATCCGGTTACAAAGCTACACACAATTACTAATTTCAGCCAAAACTTGTTCTGTCATGAACAATCGGGTCTCCCTGCACAACTGGGTCCGTTTTCAAATCAGTTTTCTCTTACAGTACAATAGTTTATCCTACTGTATTATACAACAGCTGATATCAAAAGTTTGTTTCACATTTTATTATTTGCTTGTTCTTGCTGATCAAAGGTAATATGAGATTTAATAAGCTAGATGGCAACAGCATAGCAGGATGCTGAGCAGATAAAGAGAACATTTTAATTTCAAAGTATAGCTTTGTTTGTTTACCATTATATGCAACATAATTTAAATGGCATTTATAGTCATTTATATTTATTTATTTAAAGGTTATAGTTCAACCAAAACTGAAAATTCTGTCACCGTTCACTGAACAACACTCATGTCGTTCCAAACTTATATGACTTTCTTCTGTGGAAGATATTTCGAAGAATGCTGGTAGTACAATAGTACTAGAGTAGAAGAACAGTTTTGGTGCCCATAGACTTTCTTGTATGGCCAAAAAAAGTCTGAGACATTTCTCAAAATATCTATATTTCCACTGAAGAAAGTAGGTCATACAGGTTTTGAATGAGAGGGTGAGTAAATGACGACATTTTTATTTTTGAACCATACCTTTAATATTACGTATGTGACCCTGGACCACAAAACCAGTCATAATTTTGTGAAATTGAGATTTATACATCAACTGGAGGCTGAATAATAAGCTTTTTATTGATGTATGGTTTGTTAGGATATGACAATATCTGGCCGAGGTACAACTATTTGAAAATCTGGAATCTGAGGGTGCAAAAAAAAAAAATCGAAATATTGAAAAAATCGCCTTTTAAGTTGTCCAGATGAAGTTCTTAGCAATGCATATTACTAATCAAAAATTAAGTTTTGATATATTTACGGTAGGAAATTTACAAAATATCTTCATGGAACATGATCTTTACTTAATATTCTAATGATTTATGGCATAAAAGAAAAATCAATACTTTTGACCCATACAATGTAGCCAACTATTGCTACAAATATACCCCAGCGACTTAAGACTGGTTTTGTGCTCCAGGGTCACATATGTGAAATTGCTACTAGTACTGAACTGAGTACAAATTAAAAGACCTTTTAGCCAATAGAATTGCTAGGCAGACTCATTTGAAATTAAGTTTTGATATATTTACGGTAGGAAATTTACAAAATATCTTCATGGAACATGATCTTTACTTAATATTCTAATGATTTATGGCATAAAAGAAAAATCAATACTTTTGACCCATACAATGTAGCCAACTATTGCTACAAATATACCCCAGCGACTTAAGACTGGTTTTGTGCTCCAGGGTCACATATGTGAAATTGCTACTAGTACTGAACTGAGTACAAATTAAAAGACCTTTTAGCCAATAGAATTGCTAGGCAGACTCATTTGAAAATAACAACAGCCCATTTAGTCTATCTCAGATCCAATTAGGTTTTTAATCAGCCTTTTTTTATTTTGAAGGTACTAGGTTGATCGGCAGCCTAAACACTAGATTTCGCCAAAATTGCCAGGTTAGTTTAAAATGCTTAGAAGCAAGGAAACTAGAGATTCACAACCAGCTCTGCTTATGTAGCTGTCTATGAAATAATCAGTTGGAAGAGTAGGTAGAGATTTTATTCAGAACCAGTATAATGTATATATATATAAAAAACTGGTTTTGTTAACAGGTATTGCACATGCCAACATGGACAAAACACCGTATTAATATACTCTGACCTCGTTTGTTGAAATACTTGTTCAGCAGTGCAGCAAACAGAAGTGATTATTATTTATTTATTTATTTTGTTTTTAGTGAAATCACAAACATTCAGTACTTCCTGATTATTTAACGAATAATTCTAATGAGTAGGATTTTATAAAATCAAACATGCAACACGTACAAATCCATATTAGTAAGCTATTCACTTTTGGACAGAAATTCTACACATATTTTAAGCTAATATTTTATGCAGGTTTCTTTCTAAGCTGGCAGTTCTTAGACAGAACAAGCAGCAAAGTGGACCAGACTTTATGGCAAAAGTCAAAAGACCGCCTACATAAGACTACCACTCTGAACTGTAGCATGTTAGTGATTTTGTACTTGTGTGTGCATTTCCAGCTGTGGATTGTGTTTGGTTAATCAGTGTTGACTAGTTCACGTCTATATAAGGTCTGAATTCACAACAGTGAGGATCTGATAACTTACCACACCCCGTATAACCTGTCCATTGTACAGGTGAGTCAAACAGACTTTAACACAAAACACATCACCTTTTAAAATGTGCCGTTAGCATTCATGCCAAAGATTAAATGTCAAACCCGTGCTCTCACACATAATACCTAAAGACACTGGAATAGAGCTTGACGCATGACATCACCTCACACACATGTAAAGCACACTGTGTGTGCGTGGTAACATAAGACTGGCAAACAGGAGATAGATCCAGACTTCATTGATGAAAGACAGAAAGGAAAAGAAAATCTCATTAATAAAATGCCATTTTAAAAGACCTTGTTCTACAGTTTTGTAGCAGATTTTTCGTCTATCTGAAACTAAAAATACAAGTGTTTTTTTGCTACTGTACCTTTAAAAATTCTATATGTAAACAAGCTCTGTTATGACTGAATAACAACACTGCATGTAAAATAATGTGTGTGCTAACACTTGTGCTTACAGATGTGCATCAGTAATCGACTAGAAAACTTGTTCTTAACGTAGACTCACACGTACACACTGTAACTAGATTCAGTTGTCAGTTTTACCTTTTAGTGCTTAATTCCGGTTCTGTACACACACAGTTCAGTAATTTACAGGAGTGACAACCGCATTCTACAACCAAATTAACTCCTAAAAAATTCAGGTAGTGACAACAGCATTTTATTGAAATTTTACTCTGTGTGAACAGAACCAAATAAGAATGTAATGATGCACTCCAAGCTGACTGAACATTAATAAAAATATTTGACGAATATTAAACGAATCGCGATACACTTGGGGGTGGGGAAACTGAAGGAACTGAAGGAAACTGACTTCAGAAAAATTTAGATGGTATTTTCTTTTCATCTTGCCTCTGTATAATGCCTATTAAAGTAGTATTTATAAGCACAGTGCGGCTTTGTTTACAGCAGTTAGCAAGTAAACGCTGTATTGCTGATGTTCATAAGCGCCACCTGTTGTCAGAGAGTGAATCTGCGTTTTCATTCAGCCCATCAGCTGTTTTTGTTTCATTCAGATGTTTTATGTAGTCGAGTTTCACAAAGCTAAAATCAGGCCATCCTGTTTTTGCTTCAAATTTCAAAACTATAAAAAATTATTTAAAACAAAAACTGCTCATGCTGCATATATGCAGCATCTTTTTTGGATTTTGATTAAAATGCAATGGTTGCCTCTAATTTAAAATGGAAAGAGCACAGGCAAAGCCTTAGTTGGTTTATATGAAGAGATTTCTTTTATTTGTATTATTTATGCATTTAATTTAGGATTTGTTTTAAAATTTAAATTTAGTTTTGTTATTTGGCATATTTCAATTTCGCAAAGAAATGTGCAGCATTTTGTCTGAGAAACAAAAAAGGACACATTTTCATTTATAATTTTTATTTGTTAAAAAAAATCTGAAATCATATCACATCTTGAGTTGAGTTAATCGTTACATCCCTAGAACCGAACTGAAGAACTAGTTTTTAATGACGTATTTAAATATGTATCGCAGTTGTGTCTTTTTGTATGTCTTTCTTAGGTCAAAAATAGTGAATAGCAAACACACGAGAGGGCATGTAGCCATCTAGCCTGTTTCTGTCAATCAGAGCATACGTGAATTAGGATATGTTCTCACCCAGGTCGTTGTTTTTTGTGATTGCGGTAGCAGCGCGGGATCTGGGACCCTGCTGGGTGAAGTGGTACCCAAACTTCACGACGCTTGTATTCTGCTCCAGCATCTTAGCGATCTCCATCTCTGTCGACGTACCGAGCTGCTGCCGCTGAGAGCAGAAAACAGAAAACACCAGAAACATCTCCATTACACATGCTTACATAAGCCCACACACACAGACATTTCACTAAGAGTAACATTTGAATTCAATTTGCATAGTGCCGGCAAAATAGCAGGGTTTTAACACATTTCAACATATGTACAAGAATAGATGCAGCATAATTCATTATACTTATAATGCATGTACCTACATTGATCAAATAACTGAATTAAGGCCTATTTATGCAGTGGTCTACTAACACAAGCATTTAAAACTAGTGCTGTCAAACGATTAACCTATTGTTGTGGGTGTATTATTGACATGTCAAAGTCTAGACCCTGAATATAAGACGACGTTTTTTCACATGTATTTCCAAGAAAAAAAACATCGTCTTATATTCGGGGTCTAGACTTTGACATGTCAATAATACACCCACAACAATAGGTGGTGCCAAATATGCATAAAACGAGTGTGCCATGAAATACGTAAATGCGTGTTGTAAAGATCGCGACCAAACTCCCTTTGTGATTTTAAAACGTAAGACAGTACCCAGATTTGAAGACTACAGTAAGATTTAACGTCTACTGTTAATAAGATTTTGGTAGGCTTCTATTAGATGGCTCGCTTAAATGTCCTAATTCAGATGGGCTACCCGTTTTTTTTTTTAATGGTATATCAAAAAGTGTATATATTTTTTAAATTTGATTGTTGGTACATTTGACCAGTTTTTACCATACTTTCAAAACAAAAATTAAAATAGGAAAAATATGCAATATGAAAATAATTGAAGACAAAATGTGTTTTACAGAGAAAAAACAAGATTTGGTTTTTAAAAAGCCTTTTTCCAAAAGGTACATCTGGAAAAAGGGGGGTCGTCTTATAATCAGGGTCGTCTTCTATTCGGGCCAATACGGTATTAGCAACTTTACATGGCTGCTCATTCAAATGTTAACCTAGAAAATGTGTGCTGTTCAAGTGTCTGTGCGGAGTGTGGAAGCTGAACAGTAGCACTCACTGCAGGACGGATGGAGGCGCCGGTGCAGTCACTTACTCCTTAAAATACTCCCTCATTTTCTGTCATACAGATAAGAGTAATATATCTTTCGAATTTGTAAAGACTCTACATTTATTTGTGTGCACTCACAATAACAACAAGACATTTCACTTTTGTAAAATAATGAAAGCAAACAGGATGCGATTTCTGCCGTCTCGGTCTCTGTGAACTCTGTGAACAAGCTTTATGCATGCTTGAGCGCTTATAGGCTATGTAGGCAATTAAAGGCTCAATATAATGATGTAAATGGTTTATTAATAAATGTGCTATTAGTCGACTACTGCTTAAAATGAACGACTCCTAGTCGACCAGAAAAATCTTTACATACTTAGTAAATACATTCATGCTATCTCTGAACAGTCTGTATGAATATACCTAAATGCCACATCTGATGAGGCTTCCGAAAATGTTATGACCACATTGTTGCCAAAAAGTTTGTGTAATAAATTCTATGGTGAATCAAAATATTTATAAATATAAAGCTACTTACAATTTTGTAATGTCCATTTAATACTTTTCTCATGTAAATGTAAAGTTACTTTAAATGATCTTTTGGGGGGTAATTTCTCAGCCCAAATTTATGTGCGTTTAATTTGCAATTAATTTGATTAATTAATCAGCACACTATATAATTAATTAGTTAAGATTTTAATTGCCTGACAGCCCTAGTAATTACATATTAAGGTAATGCTATATAATCATGACATGGTTAATTCTGCTGGAAATAAAAGATCTCACATCTTATTTTTTTTTGTAATGCAAACAAAAAGATAAGATTATTTATTATAAATGAATGACAAGTCTGGCATCGGTACAAAAACTGCGTTGCAATATGTAAAAAGAAGGCAGATTCAAAACAATTTTACATTACCATTCAAATATTTGGAGTCAGTATAATTTTTTTTTATGTTTTGTATGACATGTCTCGTATGCTCACCAAAGCTGCATTTATTTGATAAAAAATACAGCAAAAACAGTAATATTGTGAAAAAAAAAATGAAATAAAAAAACGTTTTCTATTTTAAAATATAATGTATATTCAGCTTGGAAAACACTTAACAAAAACAGCATGCAATCAAAGTACTTAACATGTAAGAATCAGTTCACTGTAGGTGCATGATTCAAGCGCTTTCAAGAGATTAATTTCTCTTTTTTTTTTTTTGATACAAAAAGTAATTGTCCAATCTCAACCCCGAACACACAGACATCTGAAGTGAATCATGTCCCTCACCATGGCAACAGGGTCATTGCTTCTGGTGGCAGCCAGACTGAACTTCTTCACATGAGTGTTCCTCTCCATGGCTTTTGCAAAGTCCTTTAGAGTCGGGATTGGAATGTTCTAGAAGTTAAGAGAAGGAAACATTAAAAACAGATTTTTTGTTGGACAATTAAACAGCTCCTTCATGTCACTAAATTCATTGCCATGGTCTTCATCCTGATTTTATGACATAGCCTCCATTTTAGGTCATATGAATTTTTAAGAATTAACATAGCTCCCAGTGAGAGACAAAAACAGATCCGAAATAATTTAAACATTTAAAAGTAAAAATGGTGGGTTGGGAGCTTTCAGGGAAAAAAATATTCTGGTTTGTACTGTATGTCTGTTTACTGAATAATTTCAGTAATTTCATAGCAGATATTGAAGAGATTTTTTAAGCAGCTTATATATAAATAAATAAATATATATATATATATATATATATATATATACACGTACATATAGTATTTGTAATTTGATTAAATAACAAAAAAAGTCCAAAGCCTAAAACATCTGCATTTGAGAACACAACTGAAAATGCTTCACAAATCACCATCATTTGAGTTAAAGTGTTGCATTATTTGGTGTGTCCACCTTTAAATTGAATGAGCAGAACAAAACCTGATAATCATGTTCTCCAGCATAATTTGAGAATGTTTCATAGAACATACTCTGCTTTAGTGGAACCAAGAAAAACAGGCCGTCTGTACAAAGGAGCAACATGTCACTAATTTAATTAGTGACAGACATAATTCACAATATATGTGCATTTCCAGTCAATTTATTTATTTTTATTCCAGATTGTCAAATATCAGGCAGTATCAAATATTTGGACTAAAGCGTATTTGGTAGTAATTTGTTGGCAATATAAAATGAATTTATATTTTTTTAATTAATAATAAATTATTTTTATTTTGGCCATTAAAGGGTTAGTTCACCCAAAAATGAAAATTATGTCATTAATTACTCACCCTCATGTCGTTCTAAACCCGTAAGACCTCCGTTCATCTTCGGAACACAAATTAAGATATTTTTGATTAATTCTGAGAGCTCTCTGACCCTCCCATAGGCAACAATGTAATTACCACGATCAAGGTCCAGAAACGTAGCAAGGAGATCGGTAAAATAATCCATGTGACATCAGGGGTTCAACCGTAATTTTACGAAGCTACGAGAATACTTTTTGTATGCAAAGAAAACAAAAATAATGACTTTATTCAACAATTCGTCTCCTCCGCGTCACCCTGGCGCCATTTTGGAGAATATCCACTGAACGTAAACAGCGTATGCTGTTCTGCGTCAGCTGCGTCACACGGATATGTTGTTTTCTCTCAGAATTTATCAAAAATATCTTAATTTGTGTTCCGAAGATGAACGGAGGTCTAACTGGTTTGGAACGACATGAGGGTGAGTAATTAATGACTGAATTTTCATTTTTGGGTGAACTATCCCTTTAAGTGTCTTGGTTTGAGTGTACTAAACTGAATCTCATTACCTTTATGTTGTTGAGATTGACTTCGGTCAGCGAGGAATCATTGGATTTTATCCGCTGCAGAGTTTCCTCCACTTTTGTAGGGTTTGGTGGCTCATCAAAAACTGGCTTTACCTTTTCTCCCTTAATAACATCTATAACAAACACAACATTCACAAATGAGACAACACGAATATGGTATCTGCTAAAAGATTAAATCAACTTGTAGAATAATAAACTCACTGTTATAACCGTCTATACAGGTGCCGTCATAACTCTGCGTGCTCGTCAACAGTGTGTTCACTCCAAGAATAGCTAGAGAACACAACACAGAACTGTTACAATATACACAAAAAAGTATTTAAAACGCCCACATGAAAACATCATGATAAAGTGCAGCAATTCACAGTGCATTAAAAAAAAGCTGCTTAATGCTTATGTGCAGCACTTCACTACTATTTTTACTATGGTATTCTAGATGTTACTGCATGAAGCCACTTTCACATTCCTGTGTTTCGGCACAGCTGACCAAAAAAACACATCCAGCACATGAAGAGTATAAAGCTTATCAGGGTTATAATGAATCATGCAGTGAGGGAAACCAGCCAAGAACAATCTCTTAAAGCAGCGTGTTGAAAGAGGCTGTTTAGAGAGAGAGAGAGGATGTTTGCGCTGTTTTATTCTGGAGCTGTGATGGATGCAGTGTGGGCGTTCAGACCCCCAGAGTCAAGGAGGGAAAAATATTGCAGTGAGAGTAACAGAAAACACTAGAACAATAGATAGCACAGAGCTGTTCATTCAGGCTTAAAGCAATAAAACTAACCCTAGTGATATTAACGTTCTCTCTCCACATAGTTCTAAGAGCTCAGTTCTAGGAACTATCCAGCAGGGTGGTTCCAAGAGAACCAATTTCTTCCTCGGGCCGTTTTCCTGGTTGCATTCGCACCGGCAGCAGGAACTCTGAAGCGGCCGACAGCGACGTCTTTATTCACGCCATTTACAAACATGTTTGGAGCTGTTTTTGTTGTGTGCCGTGGGTTTCGTGAGAACGGAGATGGAATGTAAATGCACAATTTACGCGATTAAAAGAGCACGAAAATCTGACTACATCTCCTATGACAACTTGCAGTGTTACATATCATCGAGGCTGAGAAAAGAACACAGTGCTGCAGACAACAGGTAAATGCTGTTATCGCTGTTTTCCATGTTCGTGGAGTGAACATTTTTTACACAGCTTTTTAAAAATACAGATAACCTGTGTTTCATAAGAGTTTGGAAAATCCGCATACACATATGCCACTGGTAGTTCCTATAGAACCGTTTTAGACTCTACTCTGAAGTAGGAGATAATTTAGGACCCCCAAACGGAGTTCCTATAACTAAATACGTTCCCTGGTTCCTGTGGTGCGAACACGCCAAAAAGCGAGAACTTCCGCCAATAGTTCTAGGAAATATGAAAAGGTTCCTCCAGTGCGAAAGCCCCTTCTGTCTCTTGCTGATCTCCCAGTATCACTGTTTGTGAGATTCTGTAGTGGTTTTTACCTGCCAGGTCATGCAGTTCTGTGTCAGTAGCGCTAGAAAGTGCCTCTTCCAATTCCGGGTCAAGGGTCGTGGCTTCCTCCTGATGGATCTCGATTGGTTTCTTTTTGGGAATCCATACCTTTCCTGTAGAACAAAAAGAGATAAGTAACAATGGCATAACTTGCATCTTCTTTCAAAAGTGACCCATATCTGATATCTGCATTTACACTATACACTTGGCAAAACAACCCAAGGTAGACATTCTGACCTGGAAAAGTTTAGGCCAAAAAGGAAGTAAATGGACATAGATGAAATAAGCTTTTGATTGTCCAAAGGCTCAAAAGACAATCTTCAGCATGACTCCACTGGGTTGAGCCTTTAACCTCCATTGCACCACTGAAAAGATTCATGTGATCTTTTGACACGTGGTTGGTGTCTAAGATTTAACTTAGACTAATGTTAAAAGTTTCATGACAGTAAGGGCTTTTTTTATCTTTTTGAAATTAGTCTCTTATGCTGCATTTATTTGATGAAATACAGAAAAATACAGAAACAATTATTATAATTATCAGTATTGAAAACGGTTGTGCTTCTTAATATTTTTGTGGGAACTGTGATGCATTTTTTCTTATTGAATAGAAAGTTCTTTGATGAATAGAGTTCAAAAGAACAGCATTAATTTAAAATAGCTCTTTTTCATAACAATATACAGTAAAAGTCTTGATCAATTTAATGCATCTTTGCTAAATAAAATAATTTCTTTTAAAAACTAATGCAAATGTCACACTACAAGACTGAATATGTATTTGGAACATGGAAGTAGTTCCACGTAAAAATTCTTCTATACATTCAAACAATACAAGAACTCTCCCACTTCCAAACATAAATGCTTGAAAAAGCAGCCCAGTCAAATGATGAAAACTCAAGAAAAGTGAGCAGCCCTTTACTTCACTGAAATCTGTAAAAAGACTACATCGCTACTGAAGACCTCAGCAGAGAAAGAGAGGGTGGTCAGACATGATGTCCAGCTGTATGAATGGCTGGCGTTTATGAACTCGACACGCAGATAATGATGGTGCACAGCAGGCCCATCATGATAACAGTTCACTGCTTGACCTCATCCTCTCTGTGACGCTCATAGTGAGGTCGGTAATGTGAGGCTGGTCTTGTGACGAGTTCATTCTCTCTGGACAGTGAACAACACACTCAACAGCTTTATTCAGGACATGTGACTGCTGAGCTCTCTCATACTGATTGACTGTGAAGGGAGGGTTCTGCTGAAAACATTCAGTTCTTCCGTTTCAGTAAAACCTCAATGTCACAATTTGAATCGGATGTTTCACAAAGAATAAAAAGACTCCTGGAACGTCATTATTTGATGACCATCAAGATTTGTGTGGCTCCTCAGCCCATTAGAAGCAAATATAGAACATTCCAACTCATGCTGGATTTTGAGAGACATTTAAAGATGAACATTCAGTCATCATGCTGCTCCAAACACGTATCATTTCTTTCTTCCACTGAAAACAAAAGGAGATGTTCTGCAACAGTCGGGTTCTGGAAGTAAAAAATCCCATTCATTTTCACCATAAGGAACAGTAACTTTATAGACAGATCTACTGTGAGCTATGAGATTGTAAAATCAATGGTAAATGCTTTTGTTAAACACAAAAGTTAATATTATTTTCAATTACTCTTTTATCAGAGAAATTCCTGGTAAAAAAAAAAAAAAAAAAAAAAAAAAAAAAAAAAAAAAAAACTACATTACCCATGATTTTGCAGAGAAATTTCCACCAATCAGAGAATTGCAACAAGTAGCCTTAATCTTGCTAAAAGAACACTTTAGGCGAAAGACATGGAGTCAGTTTTCCTACACTCTCAAAATACTTAAATATTTGCAATAAAATGACCAGTCTTGTACTTTTGTCTTTTTGTCCAATTTTCAAACACTTTTTGCTTCAAATCAAAGTTTGTAATGTTTTGGTTCACCTTGTAGCTTGTAACTCTTTAAGACTTTTTTCAAAATTCCTATTGGGAAAATAAATGGGAAAACCCCTTCCAATAACAAGGCCACTGAAAAAGTAAACAGGCACCATTGAACTCTAAAATAATGTAGGGTTTGGCACATTTCATTTATAGGTAAGTATTCCTTTAAGGGTCTATGACGTTACATGATGATTCTAGACTTTTATGTATGACAATCTTTCCAGCCATTATAATAGCAGCTGGCAGCTGTAACTTCTCATTACACAGACATGTGATTAAACCACGGCTCTGGCCTGAACCAGCAGAACTATCTACTCCATAATCATACGCAGCTTCCTTTTCCACGCTGGACAGCAGCAGTACTCACTCAGGCCTGTGAGGTTTGGAAACACACGACACGACACAGTTTGGAGAGACTCCACTGATGTCAAACATATGATTGGTTTGTCTTTTTCTAATCTTGATTCGGTGACTGTGAAACACTCACACTTTACTGAGTAAAAGAAAAGCAATAAGCCAAAAGAGGCAGTGCATTACAGCAATTTTACCACTTTTAATTTTAAAGGGTACTTTAAGGCACAACACAAGTTATTGTTTAGTTTTTAATTTGGCACACTAGAGTTCCTAACAGCAACAGGCCGAGGGTTTTAAGACCTTTCTCACTGCTCTGGACACAAGAACAGGCTTTGTGTTTTAGGTGTGGCTGAATTCCAAACACATGTTATCAGTGCAAAAAAATGAATGTGAACCAGAAAAAAAAACAACAACATTCAGTGCAGAAAACTATTCGCAGAGCAACTGATGAGGAAAGCAGAGACTGCTTAAAGAGAGTATTATAGAGTATATCTGTCATAAATAGATGAATATTCACATGACGTTAGAGGATATCTGCCATACACACACAGTTTTCTTCAGCTACAAATAATATTTAATAAAACTCTTAAAAAAAAAAAACATTTCAGAACAAAGTTAATGCATTCAGGACACTGTGATTAAAATGAACAACATGAGATAAAACAGTACAATTGTTCTTATGCAACTGGAACCTAAAAACTAGGGATGCACCGTATCGGGCCCCATACTGGTCTCCTGTACTCGTACTCATTAAAATGCCCCGATACCAAACGCCGATACCACACAGCATGTGATAAGTGCCATATTCAAACAAAGAAACACCAACAACAGAGCAACAGACAGCAGAAAGGAGTTAAGGATGTCTACTACGAAGTATATGTATGCAATGAATATAATGTTAAACATTCAGTATTAACGCCTGTATAGCTGATGTGCGCGAGCTGATAAACAATAAACAAGAGTGGATTGAGCACGCGGCGGCGCAGATGCGTGAGCTTGTCGAATGAATATATCTTTCTCACAGACATCACTGGAAAGTAGGGCTGAACGATTTTGGAAAATAATCTAATTGCAATTTTTTTTTACCAATATTGCGATTGCGATTTAAAATGCAATCATTTTTTTAAAGCTCTTTATGTTCTGTATTATTCAACAAAGACAAGCTATAAATCATTGTATAGTCTGCCCAACACACTATTAGATAGATTAAACATAAATGTTCTTTTCTGTAGGTCAGGCCGATATGTTATGATGAAATTAGGTGATGCATGAATTGATATGAATAACATTTTTATTTAACAACTACAATCACAGTACATTGACTGATTTGTTGAACTATCGCGAGAGGCAAAAGTTTACGTTTTAGCCGCATAACATTGTTTAATGGAAACGCCGAAAATATCACCAAAGTTTTGCACAAATCTGTAATGGAAACGTGCCACTACAGTTGTCGCGTTGCGCCGCAACAGCTCTACACTGGACGCGACAAAGCGACCGTTGCAAATCATTTTAACTTTGTGTCAGTACGTCATAAACAGAACAAGGCATCAGTTTAATGTCGGGTTTTGTCTTGTCACGTCGCATCCAGTGTACACAGCGTCACTACTCGCGTTTCCATTACAGATTTGCGCAAAACTTTGGCAATATTTTCTGAATGTCGATAAAAAATTATTGCAAAATTACGGCGTTTCCATTAACCAATGTTATGCGGCTAAAACGTCAACTTTTGCCTCTCGCGATAAGTCATGGCAACGGATTTTGGTGGGATTTTGGCTATATTTATTCAAAGGAGGCGTATGCGTGTATCTTTACAGAAGCAGCAAAGAGAGCCGCTTCAGAAACGTGCGTGGCGCAGCTGGAATAAACCATAGACTGTATAAACACATAAACAAGCATTGTAAATTGTCCAAGTATTAATAGTAGGGAAAGCCCCTTATACTGGATCGCGGCCACTTATGAAGTGTTTTTTGGAGGTTATAGTACGTTGAAGAATGATCATATGATTTTTTACATACACCTTGTGACCTGTAATTGTGAAAAAGCCGTTTCCATTGCAGTTTTGCGAATTAATCCTTTTTCGCATTGCCTGAAAAACCACCTCATGCGAGCGTAAAAACTTTTTTGCGATATATGGGCGTTTTTGCGAAATTGACGCGTTTCCATTAGGCGTATTTTCAATTCGCAATTTGCGCAATTTGAAGGGTAATGGAAACGCACGAGAGAGAGAGAGAGAGAGAGAGAGAGCAATTCTGTTGTGTGATCTTTGATGTTCACTCACATTTTGACTATATTTATTCAAAGGAGGCGTATGCGTGTATCTTTACAGAAGCAGCAAAGAGAGCCGCTTCAGAAACGTGCGTGGCGCAGCTGGAATAAACCATAGACTGTATAAACACATAAACAAGCATTGTAAATTGTCCAAGTATTAATAGTAGGGAAAGCCCCTTATACTGGATCGCGGCCACTTATGAAGTGTTTTTTGGAGGTTATAGTACGTTGAAGAATGATCATATGATTTTTTACATACACCTTGTGACCTGTAATTGTGAAAAAGCCGTTTCCATTGCAGTTTTGCGAATTAATCCTTTTTCGCATTGCCTGAAAAACCACCTCATGCGAGCGTAAAAACTTTTTTGCGATATATGGGCGTTTTTGCGAAATTGACGCGTTTCCATTAGGGGTA